ATCCCTGCGCAGTTCCCGAGGCCCTGGTCATCCCCAAAAGGTTTCCTTGAGGTGTAACGTAACCCTGACAGAAAGAATTGCGACATTGAGGTAGCTAATATATCCACCATCGGGAGCACCTATACACCAACTGACAAACACTCCATCTTTAACACATGGATGATAACAACAAGACAGATTTTATTCGATCAATGGACGACAAACTTCGTATTTTGAGCATTGACATGGCCATGGAGTGTTGGCGCTGGCCTCGTGGCATCGCTTGAAGCAACGCCAAGAGCAAAAGAGCGGCTGCTGCGTGGGCTAAAACGAAGTGACCCCCTCGGAGTCGCACTCACCGCGCCGGGGTCGAGGTCGAGGCGGCGCAGCGCCAGCAGGTCCCTCCGGCGCGCCTCCGCCCCCGCGGCGCGCGTCAGACGGGGCAGGGTCACGTCGGCCACGGAGCACAGCGACACCACGTCGTCCTCCAGCTCGCGCAGCACGCTGCCCGCGTGGGCCCGGCCGTTGCCAGGACCGCGGCCCGGGCCCCGGCCCGCCTAGTTGCGGCAGGGCGCCGGATTGGAAACAGCAGCGGGGTGGGTAAGCTCCATGGCCGCCGCCGGTTTGCGCCGCGAACCACACTGCCCGGCCGCTGTCCTCGACGGCCGACACGCGTTACCACCACCCGCCGCCGACCACCCGCCCCCGCCACCGCCACTCGCGCGCCTCTTTGTTTACGGAGCGGGACGCAGTCGCCATCGGAGCACGCGGACACCTCGCGCGGCGATACGCCGGCGACACGTTACCACGACCGCGGAGCGGCGAGTCGCGGCGCAGCGGAGGCGACCGACCCACCAACCCACGACGCCGCGGCGCGGGGGGCGGGGCGCGGGCGAGCGCTGCGCGGCGCGAACGTGGCGCGAAGGCGGCCGCCGGCGGCGGCGGCACGGCGAACCGCGCGGCGCGAAACCAGACGGTGCGGTGCGATCGGTCGTCCGGTCGGGAAGGCGGCGCGACACTGGCGCGGCGCGACGCGCGCGGGGGCGGCCACCCCCTGGACCCGAGTGCCATTGGCGCCGCGCATCCCCTCCCGTCGCCTCCCCGCCCCCTCGCGTGCCGACCTGCCGCCGGCCGGCCCTCCCGTACTGCCGCCGACGGAGTCATCTACGATGCGGACGACGGATTCCGCGCCCGGAATTCAATTCTTTGGGGACCCGGCGGAGAATAAGTTGCAGAAAAGAAACTTGGGCTTGCTCCGAGTACGAAAGTTGCTCCGCGCCCGCGTTGCAGACTCCGCTGCAGGAACATGAGCAGCAACACGTATCGGAATTTCCGTCTCTTGAGAAGTTCCTTCCCGCGCGTGTAGGGGGTGACGCTTCGGATTACTGTCACTCATAAAATGCTCTCCGCCCGCAAATTTACTTTTCGTGCCCACACGCTGGGTTCATACACGGGTTTTCCTTTTCCGAGCACACAAATAATATAAATTCCGATAGCGATCGTGACAATCGAATAGCTATTACAAGGCATGTTCAATGAACGTTGGCAATAAATTGCAGGAAGCGCTCTGTACCAAAACAAAGGAACAAATAAAAAATAATAATACAATGAAAACAACTGAATTATTTTTCAACAATTCTTGTGGAAGGTTGATAAATTACAATTTTAATCCCACGAAGTGCCACCGACAGATCACTTATCACACGGTTATAGCTTGTAGTATATAATCAGCCAATTTTTCTCCAAGATTATTTACATGCAATGTTCTCTATCATTCTCTGCACAATCCGAATTTTATGTTTATGTTTGCTATTATTTCTCATGTAATATTTTACCTGGAACTTTCGACATCATAATAATATAACGGTACTCTGTTTTTTCAATGTAAAAACTGGGTTACACATTCACATTAAGTGTTTCGAAGATTACATTTTTGCTGTAAATTATTTCTAATTGTTTTAAATATTTTGCAACTAAAAATTAATGTTTCTTTTAATAAATAGTTGCAACATTTTTACATCGTGTGCTATATTGATAGACAACCATCACATTTGACTGTCGCCTTTGGGGAGGGGGCCTTCGCGGCGCCGGCGCTGGTGCGGGTAGAGACCGCAAAGGCCACATTCCTCAAAAGCGACAGTTGCCACGGCGGCTACAGGAAACACAGCACGTTTCATTTAAAACATGTAAGAAAGTATATTTTTATACTCAAAATATTGTCAAAACATTAACATGTGTAATATCACTGCATTCATATTTTTATTATCTATCTATTGCTAGAGAGAAAAACATACGGCTCCATTTCAAAAAATCAAAGATGATTAAATTTCTCGAAAACTAAAATTAGTTCAAACAATATGCCATAGAATATTACTTGCCCCATGATTCCGCATTGTTGAGCGTAAACTGCATATCGATATCGTGAACCGGTTAGAAGTTATGGTGGTGGCCCATAATTGGAGGGACTCCAAGTTCTTTAAGTGACACCAGCTCATCGTATCTCCTCTGAAACATAAAATATGCATACTATTTTAAGACATACTACTTTTAATAAACAGTATATAAAAAATAGTGTTTTATTTATTTCAAGAAACAAATGTTGACTCGACAGATCGATCGACAAAAATCGACTCACTTCCGCAAGAACCTGGCGTACAACAACTCGGATCCCCGAGCGAAATGGCATAACTCCTAACTTTTGACACGAATTGACTCTACAGTTTCATCGCAAAGCTCTGGATTTCGTAATATGCAATTAACATAAAATATCGTCGAGTCTTTACAATACATAATTTTTAACCTTCTTTTCATTCCAAAAAACTTTTTTACCAATACTTTTAACACTATAACGCCCAGAAGCGTCATTTCGACTTCTGGAGTTCTTTATGTCCTCCTTTCTACGACCATTGAATAATTGTCATTTGATGGCTGCAACGAATTGCATAATGACTCATTACGACACAGATTTTATTATGATATAGGTTTTGACCAATCACAGAGATGTTTACAAACCATGAATTGACAATTAATCATTGAGAATCGTTCTAGTAAATGTTTCGTTCGATTTTGTACATTAAAATTGCAATCAATATTCTATTATGCTTATCAGTTAATTTCTTTTATTAATAGTAATTTTTACGTGGAATATTGTTTAAAACAAGTTGGATCGCAATTTCATTTTGATCCTATTTGACTAGTTCGTACTCCATCGCAGACAGACTTTTAACTAAAGCCATCTGTAGCAGGGTAGGGTAGGTTTAGGGTTCTGTCCACTAGGTGGCCTTGTCTGAATTCTGCATGAATGTTTAGAGGGAACCATTCCTTCCTCTCTTGGTCACGTCTACGCTTAAGGCAATACTTTACTAAACTAATTTACTTTTTCCATCAAATACAAAATTAGCGTGCGTTACAACTGAAGTTGCAATACACTTTTACTTCATAGAGCCATCTCTTCTGCAGGCGAAACTCAAAATATTCTTGGAAACTCATATGATTGATGGACTCGTGTCATACAATTAATTTAAAAAGAATAAATACTGCGCTCGATTATAGGGTACTGGTCTTCGATTCATTCATTCAGACGTCGATATAAAAACTCCATTCTAAGATACAAACAATGAAAACTTGACAGAAAGAATGTTGATGTTAACAGAGTAGACAGATCCTCAGAATTGCATTCTCCATCTTCACATACTGAAGTCGTTACATATGCGAATCTACACTACTTTTCAACGTAAATTGATCAATTAATCCAAAAAGTATTAATTATAGAGAAATATAACATATTGAACATACATCGCAAAATTATGGTTAATTTTAACACAAAGCAGGCAAGTAGTTGTAGTACATCAAATAACGAAAAGATCGATTGCAGTTTTAAAATACGGTACGTTTCAATCCACTTTTAAATTTTTTGTGATAAATACAAAATGATGGAATTTTTTCAAACAGTTTTGATGGTGGTGGTGCTTCTTGTTCTTCGTTCAAAATTGTGCTAATTTTTCAAAGCGTTCCTGAGTTGAAATACATGATACCGATTGTGAAACCGAGCGTTCTGTCTGTTTTGGGTTTGCTTGAATGTTTGAATGGTTGGCAAGTCTGTTTCTGATTGGTCTGCGCGTCAACTGCTATGGTCAGTCGTCCCGTAAATGTAGTGCATGTTTTATCATAGACGGTGGCTGTGTCCTTCCCCAGCAGGATGGTGACATCCGGTGCCGACCTACATGTCCGCTTGAGGGGTTTTCCCCATTCGGGCATATCCTACCAGCGAGGCAGGGCTCGATAACCTTACCACAGTTCGGACTGGAACCCTAGTACCTCCCGGTGAGAGGTGCAGTGGCATCAGATGATGCTCTGAGCCATCTCAGTCTGTCTCTGTTTCTGATCATGTAGCATTTTGGGAAAGAAAAAATTGTGGCAGTAACTGTTTTGGCTGATTAGAAGAAAAACGTATTTTTCGCCGTGGAAGATAATTAGTTATAATACCGTATTTGTGCCACTTTGTGGAGAATTTTTCCTTGAACCACTGAGGGACATTGAAGCTGCTGTTGGAGGTGCCGAATATTAACCACATTTGCGTCACACTGTTGTGTATTTTGGCAATGAATCATTGAAAATTATTGGATATGTTGCGTACGTTGGCCGCTACCTTACAGTGCGTTTTCCAGTTGTCATTGAAGCTGACTCTCCAGTATGCTAAAGTGGCCAGGTGACCTGGGACGGTCACATTCATTGCATTAATTTTGGAGTTGCCGTTGATGTTGTAGCTTCCACTTCTGTAGAAACTGCTGCCGTTGCATTTCCAATTGCGACTGTCGAACTTGCACTTCGGATGTCCCATCCTCGTTTTCCGTTGCTGTACCGGTCTCCGGGTCGATGCTACATAGTGCCACGAGGGCACTTCGAATAGTTTGTCCCAGGTCGAGTCTACTTGTTGTGATATGCAATAATTCATAGGTTTAATCACTCTGTCACAAACACAATCTAAACTGCAGGGTGGACAATACATCTTTCAACGAAGATTATGGACCCCACCTCGGCGAGGCGGGGCGGGGCGGGGCGAGGCGCGGCGAGGCGGGGCGTGGCGGAGCGAGGCGGGGAGTGGCGGGCGAGGCAGGGGGCGGAGGCCCCGCCAGCCGGGGAGACTGCGCAACCTTGCGCCCGTACTTCACGGCCGTCGGGTCATTGGGGAAGCGGTGATGCGGGGAGCCCAGTGTCGCGAGAGCGTTCGAACGGTGCGTGCGTGATGGAACATTCTTTGGAGCAAAGAATCTTCTTCAGGGCGTAATTCTACCGTCCAATTATGTTAATCTCCATCTACTCTATACTATACGTTAGTCACGATCGAATAAATTAGTCAAGGGTTGACCTCACATATCACTTTATTTAATCCTGTGTAACATGTTACTTTGCAGTAATTGCAATATTAGGTGTACACAGGCAGCCATTTAAGAACAGAGCTCTGACACTGGTGGGAATTGATTTGAATTCGTGCCTTATTTTACATGGCGAGACTCAGGCCGTGAGACATGGTCTTCCGTCTGACCATGTTGCAAATTTCGCTACTAGCAACTTCTGCAAATTTCGCTACTAGCGACTTTCGCTACTTCAATTTTCGACACTAGATACAGAGCTACGTCGAGTTCAGTCGCTATCTGGAGGAGAATTCTAGTGACCGGCTGCCCTGATCGGTAGTCTTAGGTGGACCAAACTTTTTTATAAAATAGTAGTTTCATTTGTTTGTGTTGCGAGTGTTTCATTAGTTCCATTTGTAACAAAATAATTGAATTCTGTTTGTTCCTTCAATGATAGTTCTAAACAAGTAGAAACGAGACACCAACACGTTTTCCAATTATTTGATCCTTTACTGTTGCCGCAGACCAACGGCTTATTCACGATTCATAGAGCAAGAATTAGGAAACCGAATGTTTAATTTGTTTGTGACTGTAATTTTTCTGTGTTCCAGCACTTCAACTATCAATAGAGTAATTTCCAATAAACTATTACTTTGTGGTTTAAAAAAATATTACAATCAGGAAACGATCAGATCAAGCCGCATGTACCAGAGAGTGGATTTACAGATTTTTTTAAAGCACGCTTAACGTATTTTCAGGCATTTCAAGTGCACGATTGCCTCCTGGCACTCACTTGAGGTTCATGCATAAATCTACAAACTACGCCGAGCGCGCACGCGAGGGAATTCCGCGAGTAAACATTGCGGTTCCGCCGGACTTCCGTCCGCGGGAGTTGTTTCGCGGAGTTGTCTCGCCGGCACCCGCGCCCGCGCCCGCCATTCATGCCACACTGGGCGGAACGGGGACAAATGGCGCGCAGAACAGAATTAAGTAATAAGAAGATTAAATCATATCAATGAACAAATACATAAATAAAACGTAATTAAATCTGTAGACTGTATATAAAACAAAGTCGGGTTAGCTACAGCATTTATAACTCAAGAACGGCTGAGCCTATTTTAATTATCTCTGATTTGTTGGATTGATCTCCGCCCCGAATAGCACAATAAGTATTAAAATATCGGGAAAATTCACTATATAGCGCTGTGGAAAAACCAAATATTCATGTCAAAAGTAACTCGCAACACACACGGCAGAAAATTTTTAGAAAACTATTGTTAAATAACTCCTAAACGAAGAGTTCTAGGTCATTAAAAACTAAACTTTTGAGGCCTCAAATAAACGTTTCTCACACCGTAATCTACAGGATGATAACTTTTTCAACATTCTATTATATTTTTGCTGGGAGAGACGAAGAGGGCTGGGGGATGAGGCCGACGAAGAGAGGGGAGTGGGGAGAGGGAGAGAGAGAGGGAGAGTGAGAGAGAGTGAGAGAGAGAGAGAGAGGTGATATGATAATTATTTTGAATTAAATCTCTTTCAAAAAGTTATTTTAATACGTATCTTACTGAAACGTATACTTGATCCCTCCGAAATGTTTTCTCACATAAAACAACTAGTGGTGCTACTGAATCGCACAGTCTATCTCATACTAAGTAGTTTCCTATATTTGTAGTCCACGCTACTCGGTTTTGCCCCAGCCTTTTCAAGCTGCTACCTATCGGCACTTAGGAAGATTTTTTTCTACTTTTATCAATTTGTCGGTGCCCTAATAGTAAATTTCAAATACCACTTTAAGAATGCTATAAAAGAGTAAAACCTGGATCTGTGCAATTCTTTATTGAAAAATGTGGAACCAGTTTTGAGAAAACGTCATTTCATCTTTTCTGAAAACTCGTAATTTTCAGAGAAGACGTTTTGGGTATTCTAGAAACTTCACAGAAAATATTTGGAAAGCCTTGTACTCGCCCGCAATACTGTATACAAACACGCCTTAACGAAAATACTAACGATCTGAGAGACATGTCGAAAATTCATATTTGTGTATTTTTAAAAAATGTCAGTATTTTTTCTCTGGTATATTTCACTAAAATATCTTTCGTCGTGTCTAGGAAAGGATCTCTGACATTAGACTATCAACACTGCTCACTTGCTAGTATCGACAAAATTGATTTCGGATAAAGAATCTAATAGATATAAACTAATGAAAGTATTTCAATCCTTTTGTGATTCCTCGCAGTTTAGAAATTCTTAAAAGCAAATCGACGAAAGTTTTAGAGGATGAGGAGAGAATTGAAAGCACATTTTAAACTGGCCTTCAACTCTTCATTGCAGAAACTACCAATATTAATTTTACACTATCATAAATGATCAATACATAATTGTTCATACAATGGTAATTACTGTCACTTGTCTTTGATTTATCGTACTTTTCATAAATATTGTTGTTCGAAACAGCTGCGGTTGATTTCTGACTCTCAATTGTGGCAGGTCGCCAGTTTACAGCTTAGATTTTGTTTATATCACGTAATGTTTTTTCGCAAAGTATGTTAAAATGAAGTCCCAATGGAAATTCTAAAGTGCTAATTGTATCGGCGGGAGACAATAATTCATCGGCAGTTATCATTCGGTTAATGTTATCATTTTTATGATGTTCCATCCGGCCAGATATTAAAACTTTAAGAAAAGTCGTTTATTCTGTTCCGAATTTGTTTTATGTCATCATTGTTTTGAAACATATTTTAATTACGCACAGTTCTGAGCCCTCTTGGGGCGCGACTCACGAAAGACCAAACAGATCCTCTTCGTTTGGACGCTACAGAACACAACGGAAAACAATCTTTGGGCTGTAGATGAAAGCATCACTTCATCTACTGGACTGACATAGGACGACATAATATGTTAAAGCGAATTAACCTCCAACAACTGCGGGAATTAGAGAGGCATTAGAAATATTGCGACGTGGTCCAGCACAGGTCAATTGTTTCCAGACTCATTATGAGTATGAGATTAACATTATTAGAATCATAAGAGAAAACCATAGGCAGATGCAAAACCGGAATCGAGGACTTCTTTCCTTTCCTTTTCATAACCTACCAATTGGAATTTCGGTGTCAATCAGTTATTGCCATCATATAATATGTGACTCGGAGTGATAACAATGAGCGGCGCCCACAGTACTTAGTATGCGACGAAGTGGACTGGCGGAATGGTAGCAGCCGAGCTCATATCCTTCTGAGGCGATCGGCGGCACTTACAGTACGGGAGCCCGGATACCTTACGGTGAACGTTGGTCACGGTCCATCCAGGCAATTTTGATCACCAGCGATTGGTGGCTAGCTCTAGCTGGGACGGACCGGTGACAGTCCTGGAGGCAGGCAGCGACCCTCCGTGGCGGTACCTGCTAAGGCGGCTCACGGCATGGACTGACACCGCAGTGCTTCTACCCGGGGCGTCGTAGGACTCGAGTTCTGACGCCGGCAGGGTTTTCCGTACGAGCAACCGGAGGTAGCTACGTCGAGATCAGCCGATGTCCGGAGAAGAATTCTGGCGGTCGGCTGCTCTGATCGTTCGATTTCCGTGGTTTCTCCGATCAACACCTACCAAATGGGCCACAAACCTCGCGCGACCTTTCCTTCCTCTTCCTTGTCCTATTCTCACCGCTTGCTCACACTCACATGCGCAACACCACCACCACCACCACCACCACACTTGTCGAAGCACCACTCGGGAGCTCAGAGCTTGTCCCGGCTGGGGAGGTGCCACGCTGGTGCGAAATACCTGATTGGGGAAAAACCCGTAAGTCGACGTAGGTTGGCACCGTTGACGCCATTCAGCGGGGAAGATCACCTCCCGCGATAAAAAAAGTGTACTACACTTACGGGACTAATGACCTTACCAGTTGATGCGGCCGGGGTCACTAATCAATCAATCAGCGTTACCTAGAATTATTTAGTCACTTATGAGGAAATATAAGATGTGGGGAGGTAAAGTTACTTGCATTGTAGTTCTCAGTAAATTTATCCAAACAAAATAAATCTTCATATCGTGGCATTATTATGTAATTAAACATGTTTTCAATTTCAACTATTGTTTTAATTTATCCCGATATCTTGATTTGTGTAATTGAAAACATTGCCAAAGATTTTACCCCAAAATATAGAAATTACCTTTGTGTAGTTCAGCAAATTAGGAATACGGGAGAGTGGGAAATAAATCGTTTAACTCCGTGGGATGTTAGTGAGGACTACTGAATGTTCCAAAAAGGAGGAAGAGTTTGGAAAAAGCTATACTAATGCGTACGTATATTTCAATTGCCCCTAACAAAACTGGAAAGGGAGGGCATCTCGTTAGCTTACAAGCGATTGAGAATACAAGCGAAATTAGGACTATGTAATGACAAAATAATCGTAAATGCCAATAAACAAATCTCTTCATAAAATATAATCAACAGAGTCATGTTGCTATGAAAGGCGGCTGGGTGCAGGTTGCCCCCGGTGTCACTGTAACAGAAATTACACGACGACTCAGTTGACACATTTTACCCAAACTTGTTTAAAAAATAAAAATACATAATTTTATATTATAACAAATGTATGATACATATATGAAATGTTTTCTCTCAAAACCAATTCATTCCACTTGCGAAATATTTTCAAGACAAATATACATTTCACGTACCACGGGGTTTGACAAAACCGGGTGTTCTCGCCACATTGTACGTAAACATAAGCTAGATTTCAATTAGCCCGTTCATGAGGTTAGAATAGACACCCTCCGATTAGCAGAAATACAAAAAAAAGAATTGTGGAAACTGATGGAATGAGCTAGTTTCGGCAACTCATATAATAATAAAAATAACAAACTAAAACGAAACAATATTTATATTATTCAACTAATTGGATTAAATTCTCACATGGTGTGGAAATTGGTTTACACCCGTTGACAAAGCGGCCGCCTCACCGTGGGAACGCAATGACTATGCCGTCACTCGCCGCCGGAATGTCGCCCAGAGCAGACGCGATTCACTGATTCAAAACGATTATCGTGTCACTAATTTCCAATGCACTCAGAAAAAAACTATGCCTCCTCGGGCCGTGTTAAAGGCGTCGTGGTGTCGTTAGGTACCCAGAAACACGCGAAAAATACAAAAACATATATTTTATTCATTTCAAAAGCGCAGGGAAGGAGAAATAAAACTACGCAGCCTCCAACCGTGTGTGGGGTGTCTATAGTTTCGTTAAATGACACTAAAAATAGGGACATTTCCAAAAACAATGAAACAGTTTCGGTTTTGACTGAAAAATGCAACAATTTGTTATTCTGCGATTTCTCATACTGGGAGTACCAACTGAATTCTCACGCGTAGTGCGTTACTGGTTACGACACATCTGACATCATGCGAAAGAAAGGCTTCAAGAAAGAGGCCGCCAGCCATTAAATTACGCTAGTCACGGTTTGCGTTACGGAACAGCTACTTTTGGACGGGTAAAGAACTGTTACACTTCACTTGTATCAAACAATGCTAATGTAGCATTTGTAAAGAAAATTGTTTTTGTGAAAATGTTTAATTTGTAGGAGAGAATCTATACTAGTATATTGTAGTACCATTCGTTTTGTCATATTGATATTTTATATTATATCTTATTGTTTAAAATAATAATAATAACCAAAATAATAACAACAGTAATAGTAGTAATATGTTTGGTTTTATTACATTTCGTTCCCCCATTAACGAAGGCCGGAACCTCGTCAAAAAGCTGGTTATGTATAACAATGCATCAACTGCGCCTTAGAAGTATTAGGTTATATGCAACGCCATTGTGCTCACGAATTCGTGTTGTCGTTCGTTATGTTATCTTGGAAGTGAGTACCTTCACTTGGGGTACGGCAAGAGATACGACGCCAACAATTAATCTACATACTGTACAATTCATGAAAAATTTAAAACAGTAACAAAAATATTTAAATTTTTTATTTTATTTTATATAGGGTTAAATTCATTTCTGCAACACAGACAAACCTAGTAGAAATGCACGGCACTCAGAAACGTTTTTTCCTTCTTTTAAGAACTATTACCAAAATGTTATCAATTTTTAAAATAAGGCCTTGACACCATTTGAGACATATCTCGAAATTTTGAGCTACAAGAACGCACGATGAAAATGAGATTTTGGTTGGAGATGGTTGGGACTCAAGTCATATCACCTTTTCTTAATTTAATCAATAGTATAGGTCATTGGTCATTGTCTACAATATAAACAGATATAGTTTTTCTGCTTTAAACACCAGCATGACGCAGACAACAATTGATTACCCTGTGAAAATCAAAGGAATGGTTCTCAGCTGTCTAGAGATCGCCATTGCTCATTTTTAACTTTTTTTGTTGGTCGCGTTGTGTATAACGCCAAACAATTGATGGAAAAATTGCATTAAGAAAGAAATTTCTGGCCTGAGTTAGCTGAACCCTTGCGATTACATCGAGCTACTGAGGGAGCTGTAGAAAGTGAAGAAAAGTTATTTATATTCATAATAATGAAAATCGGAAACCCCCAAAACATTATTTTATATTGTCCAGTATTTATTCTCGAAGACTAATTAAATGAGGGCGGTTTTTAAACTCGAACTATTAATCGCTATTTACTGTAGGTTTCATATGAAGTACCCCTAAAATTAAAATATTTTAATGACCTCCGGAATGATACGTCATCGACAACAAAACTTCGATGTTGCCAAAAATCGATGTTCAAAATTAAATCAAAGCTAATAACACATCTACCAAAATCCATCGATGTTTAAAAAAATTACTATATTTTTTTAGAAATATCGGTATTTTGATATATCGCATCGATGTGGTAACCCAAACCCGAAAACAGTTTCAGCTCAAAAGCTAATCTAATGTCATCAGAGTTATAAGTGACACACATTTCCAAACATATATACGTCCACACATTCCTATTTTCTGGTACATAATTGTATTTTCGCTGTCTGATCTTAATTATCTGACAGACCTTGACGTCCTAGCCCAGACGTTCTTGGCATCCTGACGTGTGCACAAAGTTATTTTTGCAAAGAACCTTAAACCCGACTTTTAGGCCACAAATCCGAGGTCGTTTTGTCATGATTCTAATACTTTTTCTCCGTACTCGACAGTACAGAGAAGAAAACTAAAAATGTACGTGTCAAGGTCGAAAAGTGCTATCAAACGATCTTTATTGGGGGTACGTAGGAATCGGAGGTGCCAAGTGAACCCTGCAGTGGCTGGCTGCAGCAACCGCGTTCTGCAATCCGGCGGACTAGGAAGCGGATTTCTATGATTTTTCATATTTTTGTCAGTTGCTTGAGGGCACAGCTAAATTAAATTTCTTCACTTATGGTTAGAATTGGATGCTATGTAGATTAATATGTTGGTGCATATTTGGCCGATTTATCCTGTTGCTACACATCTGTGTAATTATACACTCATATTTTACATATGTCATTGAAATGGAGACTTATCTCAACAACATTTCACCCTTCATAAAATCTATTTACTAGCAAGCGTAACTTATGGAATAGTTATACTTACGGCAAATATAGGATATTTCAAAAATTAGCAAATACTTACGGAAATATAGGATATTTCTTGATATCATACTTTTTTAAACTAGGCAGAATAAATGCAACAAGACATACCATGGACTAAGGTGAAAATTTTCTTTAATTATTTCTCCCGCGATATAAGGATTATATTACGTCTGCACAAAAAGTTATATCTCCTGAATTTTGTAAAGAAAGTTTTATACATGAAATGAAATATTGTTAATTTTAAATGAAGTGCACAATTCAGATTTTTAGGTCAAAACGCATATTTTAAAGCATATTTCAAGTTTCGGGCATAAAAATTCTCTCCCTATAATAGACGAATCGGGTGGTCTCCTTATCAAAATTACTGGCGACTAAAAAAATAGGCGCCCACGTTCTTTTCCTTTGTGTTGGAGGTTTGGGAGGGCGCGTGTGCCGGCCACTAATAGTAACTGACCTGTTGACATCGCTTTGGACGGTGACTGTATTCATGTTGAGGTTTGCGAGGACATCAGGATTCAAATACTTTAATACGTACAATGGCTTCTAAAAATATCCTCTTAACATCTTATAGTTATTTATGTATGTGGTTATGTATTATTTATGGGCCTCTGGTCCTCAGTGTTCGAAGCCGCCTGAAGAATAACATTAAGTACTGTGGAGCGGTCAATTAGGTTATGGTTTATTAGTTCGTAGCTGACTCGAACGAGAATTTGGAACATATTAAAATTTGTCTCGCTCCAAGAGTGAAAAGACGCATCGCAATCGTCAGTTGTCAAGATGGCGCCAGAAAAAACAAAACTGAGCGCGCGGAAAATAACAGTGTGAATTGTGTAGATGAAACGCGACTTTTGGATTATTTACTTTGTCGAAAGTCATTTAGAAAATTTCATTCAGGCACCAAAAAATAACATTTCGAGGATTTTAGCCGATGTGACTTCTAAATCTATTACTTAAAAAGCACACGGGTCCCTAAACCTAAAATATGTGATACGTAACAGTGAAAGAATGGCTGATGTGAATTTTAAATTCACGCGAACTTTCCAAAATTGCAATGTTCATATCAATTCAACAAAATGTTTACATCGAGATATTTTTCTTATTTGAGCATCATGCCTTTTATTTATTGTTTTTTCCTGTTTCTTAACTTTAATAAATCGAATTCATAAAAAAATGAGTTATTTGTAGGGTTAGTAGCGCAGCGTACAAATTATTTGAAAGGCCCGCACGGTTATAAAGAAACCGAAGAATCAAGGCTATTAAGTATACCATTATGTGCTTTATTTCAGATCCATAAATACACAGTAATGAACTAGTAAACCATTATATAAATTCTGCACCTCCCCTGAACTAATATCTCCCATTTCCCAACGAAAACATTCAGTGGCTGAGGTCGCATGACCTTGATCCAACCCTAGCCTCCGACTAGCCAATTACGTAATATATTCGCCTACTAACACTCCAAATAGCTTCTTCACTAAATATTATTTAATATTGTTCAATTTGGCGATTATATGGTTCAATTAATATGGTTCAATTCTTACTTTGTCGAAGTCTTGATACTATCACGTGACCTTTCTGCCGAGATGTGCTACCGTTTTCTCGTTCGCCCAAACTCTTGCTCCAAATTCTTCTAAAAGAATTCGTATGGTTTTTTCACCCATAAATATAATAAGACTTACCCAGAAAGCTGAAACAAATCAGAAATATCACGTATTAATTATTTCAAATAACATACTCTCCTCTCAGCTTCCGCATTGAGATAGACATTTGTGTGTTTCTTTGGACGTCCACATACTTCCGAGTAATTCTAAATCTTATTGTTTTATTTTACCAAGCAATTAACCTCTTTGTTGGGCGTGTTTCTGTTCAGAAACATAATGCAACCGCTTTGCAGAGTACTTCGAGCAGCGTTCGACATCCTCTTCGGGCGCAGGAAGCGGGACTGCTCTCTCAAAAACGTTTTCAAACGTCTCGGTGTTACGTCAGACGATTGGAGCGCACTCTATAGTCATTGTCTTGAAACCTTGTAAACTTCGAAACGCGGGAGATTCAAATTTACGAGTTGCTTGTAAGTGATACAAAATGTGAACCTCGTAGACGCATATGTAGCCTGTTTTGACCCTGAATTAAAAACAAGTTCACATTATTTAATGATTAGTATTTTTATTGCATTAGTTGTAATCTGACCATTTCGTTTAGGAAGATGTTTCACAAACAGAATCTCCAATGACTACAATATTGTGCATACTCCTGAATCCATTTACGGAAGGGGTAATTCATCTAAAAGTCATTTAAAAAATGTATTCCTTTCCAATTATTCTTTGTAATTTGCTTGCCATTAGGATGTGAGTAAGGGGCAGACTGAATGCTTTTCCTGGGAGCACTTGCCTGAATTGGGTGGTACACAAACACTATGAGTTGTAGCTGAGACAAGGGTACTGAAAGAGCAAGACTTGATTTTACTACTTAACTTCCACTGTTTTGTACACTCACTGTTACAACTATACTCACACACTATTAATATATTTTTATTTTAATAAAACATTTCAAATGTCAGTGGCTTCAGAAATTTTATTGTTGAAGAGCTGATTTTCATAGTCGGTGTTGACGTTGAACACTTAAGTAAATACTTACTTTTCTGCAACGATATTTATTTTAGATGATTAAAGACATTATTGAGCCAAAAACATGAAAAAATCTAAATATTTCTATGCCAATGGAATACTTTTATAACAATAAATATGTTTTTGAATACTGCTAAAAAACCAATATTTATTTGTCTTTAAACATTACAATTGTATTTCAAGTTGATGTTGATAATGATATTGATTGGAGACTGAATGATTGAGGTGGGTGAGGGGGCTGCAGTAGTGAGGTCTTTATCTTGTATACTGATGATGAAATAGGTGGTCACTAGGGATAATGATTATTAGAGACAGGATTTCCACGTAAATGCATGTGTTTATTTACACTTCCTAGAGCTTTCAAACTTTGTAAATATATTTTTCATGGTACTCATTTAACAGATGAACTTTTTCTAAGCATGTTTTGGTAGTTTTGAGAAGAAATTCATACATAATGCATGTTTGAGCATTTTGTCAATTAATACTGCATATTTTGGCCTCTTTGTAGCATATTAGACACTTCCCAAAAGCAATTTTTGCATAATTTGTAAAAATTAAAATTAATGCATATTTTGTAAGAATAGAATATTATTCTTAGATGCTTACAGTACAAAGTTACCTTTGCTTATTGTTATAGCAGAAATTTTAACCTTCCAGTACACGTGCTATGATTTGCAAAGTGGCTACATGTGCTGTGAGTCACAATCTTAAAAGGAATCAATACCAAGCGATTAAGTAACAAAAAATAATAAAGATACACGAAGCCATAACTCAATATCATTTGATAATAACAATGGGAGAGAAAATAACCTAGAACAGGCTCTCAGTCCATTTGCCTACAAAAAATAAAGTATGTCTAAAAAAACTATTACTGAAAAAATTAGCATAATTTAGAAAATCAAATTTTGTAAAATTGCCTACAGCAAGTCAGAATTTAGAGCAGCAGGTTTACCTGTCAGGGAGTTAATAAAATCTGTTAAAAACATTAAAATGTCTTTGGGGTTAAAGTTTGAGGTTAATTTTTGTATGCAAGGCTCATAAGTTAACTTTGCACATGCCTGATTAGCACTCCACTCAATTAAAACAGCTTAGAATGGACAGCCTTTAATCAAGGAAAATAGGCTGTACTTCACATGCAAAATCATAGAGGAAACAAACAAACAATTCAATGGTTTAGGAAATAATAGATTATTAGCAAGTTATTCACCTCTGAAAGGTAGCACTGGTGACACGAATGTTAGTATGCAGCACCAAAGACAGTGATTAGTATCCCACAGACAGTATAGACATTCTTCAAAGGGTAATATGTTGGTGGAATCTCGACAATAATCACCAAGAAAACTATATAGGATTAATAAAATATTTAGAATACATAGTCATTTTAAACTTCAAAGTGTACATAACACACAATTATAAATGATTGACAAATGAAAGTGAACCCAGGGAAAATAAATATCACTCAGAAACATGAACTCAGTGTACACATGCACAAAATTACACAGAACTTTTCCAAAACACAAGCAAAAGTTTCATTCAATTACAATTTCTGTAGTTTATATAATGATAAAATATCTATTTTGTTCTGTGTATCATTATTTATTTATTTATTAATAAATAATAATAATAACAATAATGAATTTAATAATAACAATGAATTAACAGATAATAACAATAATAATAATACAATAATAAATAATATATAAATAGATAATAATAATAATAATAATAATAATAATATTATATGATATTTTAAGTCTCATATACAATTACAATCGTGTAAGGCCGAGGTCAACAATGATGCTGGGTGGAGGAGATTATTGCTCAAGGCATCAAGGAAAACTGACAAAGACTTGATCGAGATGGGGTCAATTGGCGCTAGAAATACAACTTACGTTACGCACGTTAGATTAAGATATTATTACAGTAGATAAATTATCTGCTAATATTAACGATTTTCAAGTATGATATTTTAATGCTACTACTTATAGATAATGTACATTAATAATGAATAAATTACATCAACAATAATAATCACATTATTATAATAATTAAATTAATTATTAATAATTACATTAATAATACCATATCAATTATGTGCAACTACATAAAATTTAACAATAGTAGTGTACATTCTAATATTTATAACTTGAGAATGGTGAGGAGGCGAAAAAACAAGGTTTTTTGGGGGGGAAAAAAAAACCAGTTTTTTTCTTCTTCTATGTTCACAGGATGTGGGATATGCCGTTCTTTTCTTTGGCTTCAGCTTGAACAGTTACATGAAACAGAAAGTTCTAATGGGAATAAGAAATTGCTTTAATTTATTTATATATTCTTAAGGGAAAATGTTGTAATTTGAAAAATTCCTTTACACGTGTAGAACATGATGTTAAGCAGGAAAGCTTTCAATGTTAATTTTAAATGTGATTGAATGTGTTTATGTCTGGTGATATCAGTTGCCTGTTTGTTGTAAAGATTGTAATGCCTCATTAGTGTACTTTTTGATAAAGGGTGTTTCAGAGTGCGGAACGTGTAGGTTTATCCCTTTGAGTGCGTGTTGTAGTTATGTAACATCAGAATTTAAAGAAAGTGTCGTTTGTTTTCCATGAGAATTTTCTTTGTGAAGCCCACTATTTCAAAATGTTTACATGCATGGTAGAGGAAGATCTGAGTGTTTATTTAACAGAGGGTTGCAACTCCTGCTTATGAGTGCATGATCATTGTTCGCAGTATCTCTTTTTTGGATAATGAATGTGCGAGTGCTGTTCAGGAGCATTTTCCCCAGAATGACTTATTCCATATTTTAGGTTTCGTGAGTGGCACAATTTGTAAATTACAATTGTTCGAAGTGTCTCCAATGTTGGAGCTTTGACCTGAGGGTGTATAGGCATAGCAAGAATTTGCTGACTTCTGTAAGATTTGAGATGGTTGAGTGTCCATTTTAGGTTTTCTTGAAGTTGTTAGTCCAAGGAAGGTAGTTTGTCATGAGATATCGTTTACAGGTTATTGTTAGATGAGCAAATGCTGTGAGTGGTTTTCTTTAGATCGTGGATTCATAAAATTTAGAGAGACTGTCTTCCTGGTGTTTATGATGAGATTGAAACCATTTTTGAAACCATTATTGAAACCATTTTCAATTTTTGGTTTAATGCATTGGTTAAAAAGCATGTAATATTTATTTTTTTTAACTTGATTGGCCACATTGGACCACTTGAGTCGTTCCACTTCACTTTGGTCAACTGTCGAAGGTTCTCACCTTGAGGTGAGGATAAATCCTCGAGTTACAATTCTGAATGTTATTCAGAAAGGTGATAATGAGAGATGGAGGATGATGATGATGATGATGATGATGATGGGGGGTGAAAGGACGAACACAAGACAACCATGCCCGAGGCGGGACTTAAACCTGCGATCTTTCAGTATGAGATTGCTACGGCACTACTGCCTTAGCGATCTCAGCCACCAGATCGGCAGCATGTAATATAATATGTATATAACAATATCATTAAGCCTTTTAATTTATTCTTTGATCTTCCTTCTCCAGAAGGATGTTTATGTTTAATTCTCAAAACCATAATACAAAGACCATCTTAATGAGTGGCATGTCATTAAAAAAAAAAAATTTCAATATTCTTGGGAATTTAAATTATAAACCATTTGCCCATTATAAGATTAAAAAAAAACATGTTTATTCTTTTAATTTATGAGTACATTTAAGTTTTCAAATCTTACCATACATTGTTAAATTTTTGAGACCCTATAATCCCTTAAAGGATTGGGCTCTTAAATGTTCATGTACTTTAAGAGGAAATAAAAAATAAACTGCACCATCAACTGTTCACAGAAGCTGCCTGACTCCTCCTAACTGGACAGTTCTAACCATTTGCATGATGGTGTACCCAGAAATACAATTACATGCCATATTGTATTGTTATACTGATCAAGAAAGTAAAAGTGCAGAAAAGTACTTTCCAAGAGCCTTGTTGAAAGTCAATAGCATGACCATACGACTACATATTAAGCAGAACATAAATCAAGTTGAGTAAGGAACATTTTTCAGAAAGGAATGTAACATCTGACAACAGTAATCACTTTATTATTCTATATCAATGATAACTGCCATACATCTTTCTCTCTTAATTCAACAAACAATATTGTAAGGCTGTTTTAGAAAATCAAAAGAGAATGTATCTTCTTTATATAAGATGGCAAAAAAATAATACTGTATAGGTCATTGGAATTATAAGTTACATCTTTATACATTGTAACTTCTTAAATAAACCTTTACAGTTTTTAGCATTCATTCAAGCTTTCTTTTCATTACAGTCCATTTTTTTTTATGCAAAGTATGAAAAGCATTAATTTGGTTCATAATTTGTAGCACTTTTTTTTTCTTTCTTTTTTTTCCAACTAATGAAATTGGACACACTGGTACATGTAACACTGAAATTAAGTTCAATACAAGTACAAAAATGGAAATTAAGTCTAACTACTGCATCACAATTTATGTGAAACAAATTTCAGTTTTGGGTTACCCTAAGATTTTATTGTGAAGTACAAAAACAGTTAATAAGCTAATTGTTCTGTATATAAAATACAAAGTTGTTTTAGAAGAAGCCTTTGCACATGGAATGCTTTTGTCTCCAGAAACATGCCACAATTTGCAACAAACAGCTTATACACACACATATATTGTTAGGCAGTGATTAAATACTCTTATAACCCAGAAACAGAGCTCTAGAGTTGTCTTTTATAAAACAGTATTAAGTGTCTTTTGTAAACTTAAATTGTAAATTTAGAACACAGTTGTTCAAATATTTTAAAGATTGTAGTAGTTTTAGGAACAACTGTAACTTAAATTTTAGTGGAACTTGGCAAATTTTGTATAAAAGTCTGATTCCTTATCTAACTATCAATTATTTAAACTTCGAATTTTACTCTAAACTTAGATGTAAGCAGTAAGCTACTGAATGTTGTAAGTGATGCTATATATTCAATTTAATTGAATTTGGTGCTCAAAGATTTTTAAGTGAATTTACTACTTGTCTGTTCTGAAAGTACAGTTTTCTCACATACACTGATCATTGAAGAAACTATGTATTTTATCAGTCCACTATAATATAGAAGGTATAAAAAATACCACCAGAAACAAAAGCAAGTTCACAAAATGTGCTCACTTAT